ATACACACACACAATTACGTTTTCTACACGGATTTTAGTTAGACGTGGGCGTGTTATCGTGATTGATTAATGTTTTGGATATATTTATCTATAGCTCATAAAAAAATTAAATATCAAAATGCTATAACTTATTTAAATTAAAATTCTGAGCTCGGTTAAAATTTACGCGAGCCCAATTGTTTTTATACTTAATTAATTATGAAAAATTAATGTTATTTAGACAGGTCTATACTTTAGGTGTTATACGTACTGGTTTGTATATTCATCAGTTGTGAGACCATGACACTTTTCTAACAGATTTGATAGYGTAGTTGTTCCATTATCAAGACCTTGTAGAAATTTGAACACATTTTCATTCTCATCCCATATATATTTTAGTAATTGATGTTTAAAATATCTTACGGTTTTCTTTTCTCCATTTGAGTCTTTTATTATTGAAGTATGTATATCGTACACGGCATCGCTATTATTCACGTCCTTTAAAAATTAAACACTTATGTATCAACAACAAAAATAAAATTATATTAAAGCAAAAGGCCTATTAAATTTTGAAATTGATTACATTTATAAAGAAATTAATAATATTTTGAGAAAAATAACAGTTTCACTGTGAAATGAATTCTGTGGTACATATTATAATAAAAAATCTAAAAACATTGCATATTAGAATGCTATATTGTCATATATTGACTTATTTTAACCTAAAATAGGTACAGATTGTTTTGTAACCATAATTCGATTATGAAAAACTTTTTTTTTATTTTTAAATAATAAAAGGTCACTTTTGATTACATTAATCATAGCCATTAGAGTATTTTGACTGAAAATAATATTATATTTAATTTAAATGTTTTTAAATTAAGGTAAGTATACAAAAGTAAAAATAAAAATAATAGATAACCAGTTTATCAGTTATAAAGTAGATATTTTATAATTTATATAATTTTCAATATATTTTATCTAAAATTAAAGAAATTACACATTAGGTAACAAAAATATTATTGTTTTAAAAAAACTAAGATAAATTACATTTGTTACATATTTACGAGTATTGGTGAAATGTGTTGAATGTTATAATATTTTGATTTTTTTTTAATTTAAATTGATTAATTTTTAACTAGAACTATCAAAAATCTAAGCCCAATGAACCAATGTTGAGTACAATATTGTCGATTTTAAAATGGAGTATTTATTTTTCATAATTTCTACTATAGCTAGTGATCGATAGTTTTGAATTTGACGTAAAATTTGTCAAAGATGGCAAACGAACAAGAACAACCTTGACTTATATACCATATATTATACGAATAATTATATAGGTTACAATAGCGTAATAAATTCAGTTTTGATTACACTAACACATTCATTTTGACGAGAGTTTAAACGTATTCATAAACAATATACTTAGTTTGAAGAAAAACCAAAAAAAATGAAACTAACGGTAGAAAAAAACAATTTATTAAAATATTATAATCGTTGTACAGTAGGCCAGTTAGGCAATATCATAACTTTTATATTTTATATGTTTGAAACAGTAAAATCATTTATAACTTAACATTTATACATAGTTGTCTTACTTAGTTTAAACGAGTATTTTATATTATAAATGGAGCAATTTTGGTTTAACGACGGTGTCTGTTTTTTCCTATCTGTCATCACTTATAGATGAGCAGCAGTAAAATCATTCGATTTTAAACTTTGAGGAAGGTTTCGGATGGAAACTTAAAAACAGTCGGTATTTAGGAACTGCAAGTTAAAAGTAAATAGTTCCCAATACTTTTTAAAATAACCAGGAAAGCAAAAAAAAATGACGGAAAATTGGAATTTTTAGGCAAAATACTTTATTAATGTCGATACAAAATTATTTATCTGGTCAAAACTTCCACAGATATGTAAAAAAGTTTCTAATGAATTGTTATTACCTATAGCCATTTCAAAATAATTAAGATACATAGACATGATTTTCTTTTTTAAGCATTCAAAGTTTGTATTTAGACAAAATCATCAAAAATTAAGAAAATTTGCAAATTATTTTGGATAGTAATTTATTCATATTTTAATCAAAATCCAAAACAAAACTTCGAAAAAGATTGAAGTGATTTAATAACTTAMGAATTCAAAAAATCAATTATCTTAATATATGTTATTTATATTATCTTACAATAATGTTTAATTTTGTTGAAAAATAATTAAGCGTATTTTAAAATGTTCAATTAAAACTGAAATTTGTTTAAAAAAAATGTTATAATATATTTATGTGACGTGCCTTCTCCATATCATACTATTATTTTATTACTATGTAATATAATTTATAGTTAAATCTCTTTCAAACCCGTATAAATATTAAAAACATTATAATATAACCATTAACCATATATGTATAAGTAAACGGCATTAATATAAAAAAATTATAATCTATTGAATATTATATTATATGTTCACTGTACAGTATATACCATACATTAGGTAGGTACTCCGTACAGGTTTTTTAAAAGAACACGTCTCTTTCATGGCATCCATTAAACTTGGTGAGAAGACTCAAGTAGCTCATTTAAACATTCCACGGGTGTCTTTAAAGAAACCCCGACAAGTGGGTAAAAGGAGTAAAAAGGGCGGTGGTCRGTGGAGAAAAACCGGATATTATACTAACCGACCGGTTATTCATTGAAGAATAAAATAATCATTATAAGATAATGTGTAAACAACAGATTTAACTACAGTTATTTTTTCCCTTAAAGCTACATAGCTGAATTTCTCATAGTTTCTAAATACAATAAATATGCATGTTCAGAAAGTAAATTATTGATTCCCACGTCGTTTGATACGATGATGTCATCATTTCAAAACTTAATTAGACAGATCAACTTTTTATTCAATTAAGAATTTGATATAATCTACATAATAATATGTTACTGCACTTTATCAAGCTTATATGAAATGGATATTCATTAATGAGCAATAATTCCTATGATGTGTATCTGAATTTAATTATTTAAAATATATTAGTTTACTTATTAAATATTGTAATACAATTCAACAGTATAGGTAACAAAAGTACTATTGAGATAATTTTACTCAAAGATTTAAGCCACAACAMTGAGTTGCAAGGAGAATAAAACACTAGTGCAGTAATAGTATTTGGTTACCTACGGTCCAATATGTATGTTATAATTTATAATAATTTATATTTTGAAATAGTTAAAGGTTTAACGTAATTAATGTGCTAGTATTTATTTTTTTTTATATATAAAACTATTAAATGACCAAAAATATGTACTAAACATTATGTCTTATTCTTATATACATTTTAATTATGCAGCTAGTAGATAGTAATTATGCACCCGTTATAATATTAGATATTAATAATTACACATATAAGAAGTGATGTAGACAATTAGATATTATTAGTATAGCATGTACAAACTATGTAATTATGAATTTGGAGTTAGCCCTGACAGACAAACAAATAAATGTAAAATGGTTAAATCAAGTTAAAAATCCGCGTCACTGTCGTTATTGATGAATTATCATAGTTCATATTATTACTTATTGTATTAATACCTATTTTTAAAAAGAATTATAATAAWATGACAATCCAAATTTTAAACAAGGGTCAGAAAATAGTTGCGGTATTAAAACGAATTTTCGGTAATTTCGAGATTTCATATTTAAATTGTATTTTTTCCTGCTCTTCAACTACTGAAAAATCAATAAACGTATTTTTCAAATTATTGAAATATCTATAGATAAAACTTAGATAAAACATACAGAGATGCATACGGTACCTAACGATTTTTAAGAGTATCAAAAATATATACACATAAAATATCATAATTGTATAAGACCAATTAATTATGATTCAATGATTCGTTCAAAATCTAAAAATACTTACGTACAATATTTAACCTTAACTATAATTATATTAGGTATATATTTCCAATGAACATTTTTTTAAAATTAAATATGACGTAGGCAAATATTGATCAGTGTCCATACAGAAATATTATTACATTAAATTAAACAAGTAGATAATATGCTAATAACATAATTTATAGTTAGATTTTTAATAACCATTCGATAATAATATAACAAGATATTATAAGAATGTTAGTATGCTAATTTTGATATTTGAAGATAATTTCCCTTAATTATAAGTTAATTATTATTTTTTTCATATTTTAAATATGGTTTCAACTAAGCTACATTATGATTACGAAAAGAATTAATTAAATGTTATWTTTTAACCCTAGCTGAGACGTGTATTTATCAGTAAAAACGTCACAACATATTACATGATAAAATAGAATAATAATTAAGAGATCGAAAAACATTGATATATTATGTCAAAATTATTTAATTTTATGATTATTGACTCTAAAGTTTGCAATTGAAGTTGCGTTTTTCTGTTCGTTTAAATAAAATAATGTATTAATTGTTTTGAATACTTACATTAACGAGAACGACATCGGAAGTTGATAGCGGGCTAGGAGTCATAAGCAGATATAACTTTAATTTGACTGACCAATGAATGGCTAAGTATGGCACACCAAGCATGAATATTGCAATTATATTAAATATTATTTTTTTTACTAGATTATAAGAATATCCACATTTTATGTCAATGTATTCTACATCTAAATTGTTAATGTGATGAGATGGCAAACCATCATCTATTGGCGAATAGTCTCCACGAGAACAACAACMTAAAATAAATAACAACACGTAATTATAGTTAATAATCATTATTTATTTTATTCATTATAAGTTTAAAGGGGAACGTATAATATATTTAATCCAAATGTTGTACCACAGCTCTCAGGTATCTATTTAAAAATAATACTTAAATCAAAATATTATTAAGTAATACAAGGTAGGGATTAGGTACATAATAATAATTGCAATAAGGGTGTCGATGCCGGTTTTTTAATTTTCCCTAGTTCCATAAAAATTTGAAAATTATATTTTATATTTTAATTGGTACCTTAATTATAATACTTTTTCGTTAATCTACCGCCCGATCTACCTACAGTGYATCATATCAACAAAACTAACTTCACAAGAAAAACTATCACACCTCATTGATAAGTCAAATAATTTCGATAAATTTTTTATATTTGAAATAGAGCATTTTTTTTTGGTCAGATCAAGACTTTCATTTTCATTTTACCTTAAAACGTGCTAGAAAAACAACAAATATTGTATATTATTCAAATGCATACTTTGAGTTCTACAATTATAATTTTGGAAACCGGACTGTGATCCGACCTGCGAAATGCTCTCTACTTTTAAATAATAAAAAATAATTAAYGAAATTTGACTATTCTACCTACAGGACATGAGAGTTTTTCCTGAAAGACATGTTTTTATACTAAAAACACACCAGATCCGACGACCTTAACACAAATAGATAGCGCAACGTGTATGTCTGTGATCCCGTTCCCGGTAATTTTTCCCTGATAATAACGCTCCCAAGTCATAGAATAGTAGACATTCGTGTTCAACAATTACCCAAATTTAATATCAATTAATTAATATCAACAGTTTTAATCAAGCAAGTAAACAATTATGATTACATAAATAATAATTTATATATATGAAAATTAACTATTGCATAGAAATTTAGAAATGATCACTGCCGACTAATGTCTTAACTGACCACGAATAATTTAACAACAAGTTTCTTTATGATTTTATCAATACATCTGATAGCACTTGTGAGGTACTTAAAAGTAACTACTATCTGGTGGCAAATAATTTGAAATAATAACTTGAAAAATATTTAAAAAATGAAAAATAAAAAAACTACATTTAAAAAAAATAAATTATCTAACAAAAACAATATACTTTAATACAAAAAACGTTTCTATTTCTTTTAACATAATATGGTAATTTATTGATATAAAATATAAAATACTTTTTATCCCAGTTGGTTTGTTTGTCCCAGATAGTTATCGTCATCGACCCACACCTGCCTTTGGGCAGCGTGTTTTTAAATAGTTGTAATCATAGATGCAAATAAGGTGGTGACTGGGGGCTAAGAACCCCTTCTCAAAAAAAACTACCATCATACATACACCAAATTATAAGTGTAAATAGAAAAATCAATATAAACCAGAGTTTCAGCCCTCCCCCGCCCAAATCTCAAACACTATTTGCGCCTTTGGTTGTAATAGGTATTTTATAATTTATTGTTTATTATATCAATGGTCGGAAACTGGTGGACCATGGTCCGAATTCATATATCATATTTACATAAAGTTTATAGTTAGTATGTACCCATTATTATAGTACTATAATACTAGCCACTAGGTATCAATGTGCATGTCATTAAATATCCTTTACAGTTTACTCTATAATATTTGTATAAAATTTGTAATATTCCACACAATCCCGTGAACAACGTTTTTAAACTACTCGTATATACTCTAAGTCTCGTTTTTAGTTTTTATCCTTGCGGAATTGCAATATTTGATAGCCATACGGCATACACAGTCTATACCTCACTAGCATTGCTAGTATAGTATTTATAAACAATGCCATCACTGGCGACTTTAATTAATTCATTTCAAACTATAAGTAGGTAAGTATAATACCGGTATACCGTATAATATACTAAATTTCCATTAAACGTCTAATAGGTAATTAACAACATTTATTTTTTTATTTTTTATGTCACAAACTCACAACAGATTTATAAACATTTATATAGATATCCCGATTGCCTCCAATGATTACACATATAAAATATAAATACTTACGTAATTACAATGAATAATAAATATATTGTAAATATAAATAATAAACATACTTGACGAAAGTGAATGTAATATTCACTAATACACAAATACGACACTTGACTACAGATTAATAACTGTGTAAGACGCAATGATCTTTGTTCTTATTTCTTCAAACACAATGAGTAATAAGTATTGAATATTTATCATATGTATAAATACGTTGGTCATAGGTATTTACTTTTAAGTGTGTGTGGTTATAGTGGTTAATAATTATATAAGCGTTTCGATTGATACGCAAAACGCCAATAATTATATACATAAAATGACAAAAAATTAGAATATAGTTTCTCGCTCTGGACAAGGAACACAATATGCAGTCTCATGCACTTTAGATCGTAGTTCAATTTAACCCGTTGTCGGTATCGCTATATACTGTTACATGATTGGTATCGTGTTAGCGTTACGCTAATATTATCGTTTTTCCGGTTCTGTGAATTATTTATTGAAAAAAAAGATAGGTATTATTTAAAAATCAAACAAATCACTTTTTTGTAACAAAATCTATTAAAATAAAAACAATTTCAAAAATTTAACTCATCGTTCGAGTTTTCCGAGTTTTCTAGGAAAAACTTATAAAAAATAAAAAAACATCATTTTTGGTAGAAAAAAAAGATATTATATAAAAATTAATGAAGATCAAAAACTATTTTTTCCAAGTAAATCCAATCTCTCAAAAACTATATTATTTATTCCTAATGAATATAAGTTTACAAAAAATTTATTTAATTTTATGATTATACATTATATAAGTTATAAGTATAGTATAATAATATAATAATACGGAAAAATAATTGATAAGAATTATAAATAAAAATTGTAATTAATGGTTTTGGAGTACAAAAGTTTATTTTTTGTGTCAGCAAATGTATTATATATTATATATAATATAATGGACAGTAGTATGAAGTGATATCTAATAAGTAATGTGGATCTATTGAGCCTACCGAACCTATATACCTAATATGGTTCTATAATGCTAGTTGCACACAGACAGCATAAATCACAATACACAACTTTTTTTCAGAYCATGAAAAATTATTACTTACAAAATACAAATAAATATTTTATTAAAAATTTATCAAAACATTGACATGGTCGCTAAAATATACGTACCTAATTGCCATTATACAAATCCAACGTTTCCAAAAATAAGGATTCTACACTGTTTATTGTACCTATCTATTCATTACAATTTTTTATAATTACGAAGGTACGTATATAATAAGCCTAATAATAATATTTTTTTCTGGAATTCAGACTTCGTTAGGAACAATAAGCCGATACAAATAGGATGAAAACATTAAAAGATATATTTTTAAGTCTACCTGAAGTTTAGGCAACAGACAAACTCTGGACCACCAAAAATGAACATAAATTTAGATAATCTAATTGTTTTTAATATTTCTGGCAAACATAAATTACAACTTAAGTTTCTAAATGATAGTTATAAAAAAACCTATTGAAAAAAAACTGTATTATTGTGCAAGAATCTCGTGTTGAAATTTGTTTTTATCAATTCGGAGATGACTTACCCCAGACTGCTTCATTTTTTCAATCCACCTAAAAACAAATCTAAGTTTCACTAGCTCGTATCCAATATAAATGTTAGTGTGCCACCACCGTATCTTATASAGTATACACATACAATTAACAATATTTATACACATAAGATATAACATAAGTCATAAACTATATAATATCATATATCTATATTTTATATATTTTATATTTTATATGTTACAGTGTTATACTATGATATTATACACAATATACATATATAATATATATATAATAATAATAATAATTGAACGCGAAAAGTAGTTCTCCTCCAAAACACGTTTCGTTTTACAAGCTCGCAAATTCCCATTGTGTATTTGTTACGACCGTGCTGGTTCGAGGTGAAATATTATAATGTTTTGTGCATATAACGATARAATTTAGATAGTAACCAAACGAAGCACATTCACAGAGTTCTTTGTTTATTATTGAGTAGATACTACCACAGTCAACAACTCATTGTTTTGACTCAAAGTATCCCTTTTTTTTGGGTGTCATGTTATGTATACTTTTATTTTAAATATCAGTTAACCGACAAAGGAGAGTTAAAATTACTGATGGATATATTATTACGTATGTATACATTTGAAATTTCATATACATGTACTTACGACTTATCAAAAGAATGAATAAAATGATTTTATATCTTTGTTAATTCGATAAAACTCAATTGCTTGAGGTTAGTACATTCATTTAAGTATCTATTCAAATTTAGTTCGTTTAAAACTTAACTTAAAAAAACCCGTGAAGTCGCTCTGCTGAATAGTCAGTTGTCAATAAATTAGTATGCCTCGCAGTTGAGCAGGGCACTGTAAATTGTAATGGATGTGTTAAATTTGGATTTAATGATACGTGATAAATCATTGTACACTATAAAAAACGATAAGAGCGGAGACGGCCTGTCAGCCTATATAACTAAGAAATAAGAATATTTATTAGGTACATATTTAATATTTATAATGCTATAGGTGATTAGTAATTTTGCTATTAGCAATACGGTTTTACAAATTTTCGTGATTTGACGAAATAAGTCAAAAATAAGACTAAAAATACTTTTTAAAAAAAAAATTGCCTTCCTATGTATTTGCAATAATTTCTATAAGTTAAACCTATATATAAGGAACCTTTTTTAGAACTAATAAATTTTTGACACCATAAACATTTTTATTAATATTTATAAAAAAAAACACTAAAAAACTTCAAAAATTTAAAATGTTAATAAATAGTTTAAAAAGGGCTAAAATGTTACTAAAAATCAAAATCAATTGTATGAATTACTTTTTTTGGTGTGAAAACTCCAGTTTTTTCCTATTTTGTTTCCAAATACTTCGAATAGTAAAAAAAAATTTTACTTTGAGCTTCCTAAGTATCAACGAATTGCCATAAACTACAGTTAAAGTTCAAAATTAAAGAATTTTCACTGTTTTTAATTGTAATGTCAGGAAATAATCTCATTATATCATCGTAAGACTAATACATCTATTGCTCCGCGCAGAATCAAAAATACGATGATTTAATATTATTTTAACAAACCTTGATAATATTACTACAACTATGAAAATTAATGCTTCATCGAACACGTGGTTTACATTGTTCATAATAGTTTTATGGATGATATTTACTAGTGTTATTGATAAAGTCTACGCATTCGTATTTCTTATATTCTGTCAACATAATAAAATATACTATATTATAAAATTTAGATAAGAATAATAAAGCAAATTAGCCTTTCGATTTAACAACTAGTAAGTAGTAATGATTAATGCGTAAATGAACTTTGTTCTATGGGTGAGCCATAAAAATATATTTTTGTTGTATTTAAATATTAGATTGTAGTTCAAATTATGATGATGTTTAATCAAACGTTTGTTGATTATTTAGAAAGAAATCCGAGTATGATGAAGCAAAAAAATCAAGAATACAATCGTCATTTTTGAGACGTTTCTTTCTTTAAGACCAAAAATTGAACATTGTCACGATCACACAATGTATAGTGCATAATATTATTATATATTATATTAGATAATTCATAGAGGTACAATATTTAAAAAATTATGCTTTTAAACAGGTTGAAGAAGAATGAATTAAGTAAGTAGGTATGTTATAAATGTATAGCTTATATTGCTTATAACACTTTTTGCTCAATGTAAATATCMGGTACACAAATAATGTTTAATAACCTTAGTTCTGTTTTTAACTAACGGAAGTCGGAAATGCAATTTATACAATAACATAAATACAATTGACATATTTTAGTAATTAATTTTTACTACAATCAAGTATTTTATCCTTTATAAGAGTTACGTCTTATTTTTTTACTGTTTTGTATGATCTATATGAAATTACTTTTTTCGTCTTAAATTTCCTGAAACTTTTAATTTTAACTCAAGCTCAACTATAACCATAATTCTTCATCATCACTATGAAGGCACATGAGTACTAATTAGTAATATATGATATATTAAGTAATTCTACATTATTAATTTAATTTAAGCCTCATCACACGTGTTAACCACTTGAAGATATTAGTATTTAGCAGTAACCAACGTGGAGTTTCTCACTATAAATTAGTATTGGTATTTATCTAAGTAAATAAAGTAGTAGCATACACTTACATATTGTTTATTCAATTTAAATAATATCATAAATCGTAAATCTTAAATAATAAAAATATATCTAATATATATATTATAATAACATCCATTAAAGTTTTTTAAATTAAAAAAAATGATTAAAGCAAATAGAGAAAACTTTAAATTTAACAATCTGATATTTCATAATATACAGCTCATTTTACAGAGACTTGTAAGTTGTGGCTTGTGGTCTACATAATATAATAAACAAATATTTATCTCGTTTTATATTTTATGATTATACAGTTTTTTAATGTTATGCCAAAATGTATAAGTATATTATATACATTTCGTTATACAACACATTCTGTTTACGTTCATGTATATAACAATTATAAATTCATACAAATTCTTTTATAAGCATTTCATATTTTTGTAAGTCAATAAAATGTATATTTATACAAATTTATTATTCAAATTTACATTAATTGTACATTATAAATTGCGTTGTTGACAACTTTTGTTAACGGTGTCTACGGTAGAAGTCAACAAATAATAAAACAACATTTATGAAATTATGAGTAATTGATATAGTTWACAACTTCGATAAATTCATAAAATACCTAATCGTAACTACTCACAAGTCATAACCATTTATTAATCTATTATATCCCAATACAATATGCCCGTCCATGCACCCGACACCCGTACACATCTCGTGTACCGATTATACGTAGTAGACTGTATAGTGTATAACACTGTCGAGTTGTTCTACTGGGAGCTCTCTTTGTACGTGTAATGACCTACAGATCAAAAATGATTCATTGATGGTGAACAATATTAATTATTATTTCATTAATTCGTTAGATTACTGAGCGGTTAGACGTATTATACGAATTGCACGTATTTTGTAATGCGTTGTATCCACAAAGGCATATATTATGATCATAATAATAATATTTTATGAAAACTTCCGATTCTATAATAACATGATAGGTAATTTGCATACAAAATTGTTAAAAACAGACAGTGTATTACCGAAATGTAGGTAATCTATACGACGATTGGATTATACGAAGCATAAATCATTCAAAGATTACGTAATGCTCGTTAAATTGATAACTACCTATATAACGTACGGTTGGAATCAAAGACCAAACCGATGTCCATTGATGGAATCGCGTCAATCGATCGGACGAATGCTGGTCGATTTCCGAGCGGCAAAATCGAATTATTTTAAAGCGTTTAAAGCTTTTTCGTGGTCGTCATCGATGACAACGTCAAAATCGTTGTACATGTTCTATGTTAGTCGGGTACCAAAAAATAAATCGCACGACGACAAAATATGTCAATGCGAAATTTTTGCCGCCGCCGTTAAAACTTGCATAACGATAACGACGACACACGCGTTATCGTACACGTATAATAACATATTATTATTATTATTATCTATTATTATAATATCACGATGACGAATGTTATAGAGTTATATAAACGTATTATTATTATAATAATTATTAGGTATTTTAAAGATCTGTAAAAAGTATAGGCATTATGCTTACCAAAACACAAGACCATGGCTGCTGCTACTGGCTGTCGGTCGGTAAAGTTTTCGGCTTCTACGATAAATTATTATTATTATTCGATTCGGTCGTCGTCGTCATCGGACGGACCGCCGGCCGACCTCGTGTACGCTCATCGTGACGACCGTGTGCAATACTGTCGGCCGCGCGGCCGTTCGAACCGCTTTTTACACGCGGCGTTGCGCTCGTTATCTCGGTCGAGCCACGACGGTTTAACCGATATTATTACGGCGGCGGCGTAACGGTCGGCAACGGAATAAAATAAAATAAATAATTACGTTAGGCCGGCTTATCTTCGGTGTACATGCGCGCGGCGCGTGCGCGTGCACGGTAATGTGTTTAATTTAATTTTTTAATACAATTAAAAACGCGCACCGCAGTCGCCTTCGTAGTAGTTCGTTTACGGTCTGGGTGACGTTGGACGACGACGTTTTCGTTTTCGTCCGTGCACMGCCGACCGTCAATCGCAAAATGTCGTGCGGCTGCAGTAATAATAATAATGATAATAATGTAATAATATCACCCAACCGGCTCTCTGCGTTGCAGTCTACTCCGGCACCGAGACAGCTGCTGCTCGCCGCCCCCGCCCCCCGCCGACACCGTAAATTACTATTATTATTTATTGTTGGTGTTGTTGTTGTTGTTGTTGTTGTTATTGTTGTAGATCCACGTGTTTTTGTTTACCGTACGGACGCCGTGATCGAGATTTGAGATATGTGCTGAGCAAGTCGGGCATGTGATTGTCGCCTGGTATGCGCGGCGGTAGGTTACTGAATGGTTAGGGGAGAGGGGGTGGCAGGGCGGGACAGGTTGGTATGCGTTCAAGAACCGGTGTGCGCATCGGCGGCGGCGGCGTTCAGTCGTCGTCGTCGCCCCAGGTGAACGCCGTAAACGACTAGAATCGCCGACGAAACATATATTTTTATTATTATGACTCGTAAATTTGTTGTTACGGAGCATGAAACCAATATTCTCCACCACCCGAGTCTCAGGATCCTCCCTCTCTCTCACTGGTCTCTATTAATGTAGTTATATACATGATAAGTTAGGGTGTAAGAACATTAAAAACCAGAAAACGAACTTTGATTCGAAAGGTTCATATTGTTAGTTAATTAAAAATTCGAAGAAGGGAAAATACCATATTTGAATTTGAGGAAACTGCATCTCATTATTTAAATACACAATCGTAATTTTAAGTTCTTAATTGAAATGAAAATATTATTTTCGTATTGTATGTAAGTACTTAGATTAATATTTATTAAAAAGAAAACATAAATATGTTAAAATGTTTGCACGATTGCCATTATTTTTCACCCATTGGTTACTGCAAACCAATAGCTAAATTTAAAACCCATTATGTATAAAAAAAATGTTAGATAGCTGGTAAAGTAAAAGAAATCCTACCCATCATAATCTGCAATAAAATTATACCAACTATTTTTTCTACTAAAATGTTAATAGGTTATTGATATATAATTGAAAACACAGTCCATCACCAGCTTAAGGACTGCTGACAGCCACTATCCATTTTCGAATATATAATTTTTCCCAAATCGATCGTTTTTCCTGTCTAATATATTCCATTTTATGGGTAGGTATAAAGGTATTTAAAATAAAAATATTCAGTTTTTTATATAAATTCTTGGCTTTTATGACAAGCTAGAAATCTTTATTTTTTTTATCTTTTGAATATGTCATTTATAAATTATGCGAATCAATATTTTTTTTAATACTATTGTGTATAATTTTCCAATTTAAAATTGTATTTTACTACCTATCTATTATTATCTAACATTCTAACAGATTTTAGAAAACGTGTCTCTTGTAGTATTTGTTTTAATAATAAGAATAAATATTTAAATTAACTTTCTGTTGTCAAAACCATAATATTTATTGTTTTTGTAAGATAAAATGGTAAATATATTATGATCACTATCAAAAAAGTCATTATAATATTCAAATAGTGAATGATATCATTTAAATTTCATATGAAAAAATACAAAATTGTGTTGTGAAAACATACGCAGTCAATTTCTAAGCATATAGACGCATGTTTCAATATTTCTATTTTTTTTTTTAAATGTTTACTGAATGAATTTATACCAAAAAAGTTAAGTGTAAACATACTGCAACAGTGCAGCTTGTAGAAAATGAATTTTTTTTTAAAACCATTATTTGTACGTTTGTAAATATTATACAAACAATACAACATTTCATTCTATTTTAACTGATTATTATGACATTTTTATTTAAACGACTAAAGGTGTAATAAACTAATAAGTAACATTTAAAGTTTTAAAATTGTAACTGTTTGTTATTCTAAATTATTAAAAGAAAATGCTACGTTTAGTAATGCTGACATTTCAAAATGCTTAAAATTAGTTTCAAAATAATTTCCTTGATGACGTATAATTAATGGCAATTGTGTTGACAGCAGTTTTTATGAGAAATATCACAAATGTATTGTTTCTTTATGATTTTATACTTGGAACTGCAGTTGATAGTTTTTTTTTATGACATTATAGGTAAATTAAAGGCAATTTAAAATGATGAAATTTAAGTGACTTGTAGGTGCGTGCAAAGTGAATATCTGATTAAGAGAATTAATCTGATTAGTAGAAAAATATTTTAATAATTTTAAGAAGAAAAAAATTGAAATTTATAGTAAAAATATTTTTATACAGAAAGAKCATTTGTCTAAAAAAAGTAAAACCTAATATAATGTGTTGACTTATAATATAATAGGTATAAAAAAAAATTTATGAGTCGCGTAAATATCATGTTTATCAATTAAAAGAATTTATTAGTACTAAATATTATTGAAGTAAGAATGTCAGATATATATCCGCAATCAATAATTACATACTATGGTTCTAATAAACATGATTTTTGAATATTGATCACGATATATTGTTGAGATATATATTATTATGATTTTAAGAAAAAAATGATTCAAGCATTATAAAATATCAAAATCAATCCAAAAAACTTTAATTTCGATTTTCGATAGACTATATAATAATCATTATTTAATATAAGTCTTGAGTATAGAGTTAACCGCGGATAGAAGTATCGCTCATTTCAAAAAACTACAAAATTCCTATAAAGCCAAGCCCCAGTTATAGTTATACTTATTTGTTTACATATATTTAAATCTCTATTTAGTTAGTTAGAAGGTACCAAGCTCTCAAACAACTTGCCGCCGCACTGTATACAAAAGGTCAAGATGAAGATTGAAGAGAAGTCTAAAATTTGGGTTCGGCTTCTTTAAGAAACTCCGTTAAATTAATATTTACTCATGCATTATAAATAAATATTGATTTATGACTGATGTTGGACWGAACCACCGTGGAAGGCTGCAGGTAAGTGGTAACTAGAGAAGAAAACATGGTGCTGAAGTATATTCTAAGACAGTAAGTAGTATTGCTATACATATACAAATATATATATATATATATATATATATATTATAAAGAGTATATACAGATTGTGAGTGTCAAACAATTATTTACTAATTTTTAAGGGCGACGGAATCTATATGCGTTGTTTTAGCAGTTACTATACATACCTAATAATCGTTTCAAATTAGTAAGCCTTTGTGAGACACTTGTTAACTGCTGACTGAATTAAAACAAACAAAGAAAATAGATTTCACTTTGACAAAATAAAATKAATTTTTATTTGTACAAGTCATAATATTTTATGATTTTGTACACATTAATAATTCTTAAATAAATTCAAATGAAATTATTGAATGAAATTCCACAACAAAATGTAATATTTATTATTTTTATATACCAATAAGTCATAAACTATGAACTACGACAGTACGACATACTCATTTTTATCAGAAGGGTATTTTATTATTTACATAAAATATTTAATGTAATATTAAGTCAACAAACATATACATTTCAATGATTACATAACGAGAATCAAAATTATATTGATCTTGTACAAAGAATTTAAAAAAGTTCAATTTTTATCTTCCGCAAAAATCTAACCTGTACTTTTTTTGCGAAATCGATGAAATTGCTTATACAAGTATCAAAATATTTTTATAATTATAAAATAACGCCAAAATCCGTAGGTACGTGGTAACTGGTAAATGGTAAGTGTATTAGCGTAACTTTATAATAATAATTAAAGAATGAATTTGTATGCGATTCCATATTTTTGCTGGTTAATTGTATGAAAGGTCAAGTAAGCACCTTTTTTTCGTGTCATAGAGAAAAATGAAATTTATTTTTGGAGCATAATTTTTACATGATTCGACTTTATGAGTATGAGAGGTATTAATGATTTATTTTATGATTTGAACCACATATATTTTATTCGTATAGTACACATTTATAGGTATATATATATTCCAGAAATCTTGGAAGAACTTCAGAACTTGAAAAAAAATATAAAGTATYATAGTAAAAATAAATTAGTATTTTTATTTTAAATTTATACTAATGTATAAATAAATATTTATATGTTAATACGGATTTCCTGCAGGATATGTCCAATCAATTACGATAGATGTTGGTACATATAAGGTGAGAAAATATCGATTCAGATTTCAAATCAATGTACTGATTTTGATTTATGGAGAAATAAAATATTTTTTTTTTACAATTATTGAGTGCATAATTTATTGTATGTGCATATTTGAACTGTTTAGTGCATATAATTTATATATATGTGTATATACATATCTGGCTGGTTTTTAGAGCATTTATAAATCCAATTTATGTGACAAAAACACATATTGCAGTAAGTCTGTGCACATATCTATATACATTTTTATAGAACAATATATAGATATACGTATGAACTGGAATAATTCGACTTTGTTCATTCATAACAATATAATAATTGAGTATTTAATGTAATGATGCGTGTAACAGGTTGTTAGAAAGTTGAAATTGAATAGTTCTAAGTTCTAACTATTATCGAGAATGCATATTGAAAACGCCTAGTCACGACCGGATACTGTAATTTGTGAGACTCCTGGTCAGATTTCTGTGTACAAAATCTCACACCAGTGATATAATGATACTTAACAGTAAACTAAAAAAAAAAAAAATTATATGCAAATAAATACCAAACGCAAATAGTAATTTACAGCGTACTTGTCTCATAATAAGTAGGTATAGGTATAGGTATATAGCGCGTGACTATATAATCTGCAAATCGCCGCGTAAATTATGAATGATAATATTATTATGATTAACACCATAAACGGGCGTGTGGTTATTGTGGCTTATACGCATCAATTATTTTTACAGGTATACTATTAGCTGTTCATTTGGATAATACTTCTTAAACGTTTTAAACGGGCCCGTAGCGAATTTGACAAGTACAGTGTAAAAAAAAACTGTGTGGCGCATAAAACGTAAAAACAATATTATATATTATATTTTTTTAGACCTGCTATAGGTATAATAATTTGAAAACTATATTATGGTTAGAGGAACCGATTTAACCATTTACAATATTATGTTTAGCATATTAGATTGTTAGAACTTTCCCATTGACTGACCTAAGGATTCGATATTTATTTAGTTTCCAAGGGGGATTTTAACATTATCATTGTTATTTTTTTTAGAATAAAATGGTTCGTAACATTATTTTTTTAACTACCAGCAAAATTCGATTAATTATGGTGCTAATCGGTGTTATATTGTACACTATATGTCTGTATATAGGCATTCAGCAATATTGTCCCATACTGGGGACTTGTACGGTCGTTACGTGTACATACTTTCGTATTTTTATATTAAATGTTTATACCTATGTATACAACTGAACGTGCTGGTCGATTCCCGTGGTTCGACGTGACGGATGTACAACAAGTGTGTATAATATTATATACACATGTGCATATGATATGCTATTTTATATACTAGAACATGGATGTATACCTACATAGACGTATTACTATATACCAGGTACATAATATGTACAGAATATATATAATATGTGTGCAGAGAGAGAGAGAGACATTCGTATACAGTAAACTACTTAATTATTATTCAGCCGTCATTGCGTTCGCTCCCGAAGGCTAAATAAATATACTAAAAAAAAAATTACTAAAAAAACTTCGATAATAATTCGACATTCGAGAGCACGTTCAATTGAAAATATAATTTCTTCGGGTACCTATACTGTAGATGTACTGAAAAAAGTAAGCTGTAATTACACAAGTGCAATCATAACTATATCGTATAGTATTGGCTATATGTACTTTTAATTTTATAATATTACTACTTTACAAGGTGATTCGTTTAAATATCTAYGTTCTTGATTACGAAAAGTTTTAATCATTTTGAAAATATAAGATTCATTGCAAAGCAACATTTTTCATAAAAATATTTTGTATTTAAAAAATGTTTTTGTAATAATTTTTTTCTACTTTTTTGAATGATAAAATGCATTTTTAATATTTCATACTCCAAAGCAGAATAATTATTGGGGCATATCAATGCATAAATTCAAATTCAAAACTAATTTTTCGAGCACCTTCCTCTAGCTGTGTCACTCTAAACTTTAAAGACCTACCTATACAACCAATAATTTAATAATATAATTTGACTAATAATTAAAGGCAATCGTTTAAAATTCGATTTTTATGTATGTATATATATTGTATAATTTTTATACTTTAGAATATATGATGGTAAAACTATAATTTTTCATASAAACAGTACAACTTAATAAATAACAAAGAAAAAAATAATTCTAACAATTTACCTAAGTTTATATTATTCTGCGTCCGTTAAAATTTAAATCACATAAAAAAAATATTTTTAAACAATGATTAAGTGAACATTCAATGGATCACCTAACACCTTTTTTATTATATTATCATGCCGTTGTGTCGACAAATTTTGTTTTGATAGATTTAATGCTGATTATTCGTCCTCGTCTGACGTATGTAACTATCTTTGTGAATGTCCGTAATCGGACAAATTTGTTWTACACGTATCGCTTGTACATGAAACATTYATAGGCATTTGTCATTTATGGATGTCATATTTTAGAAATCTTTGGGACACTTATATCATATTTGTGACTATCAAACGTATGTTAGTTATTTTTTATATTTGTATGTCTTTAAGAAGGAATATTAGCTGATAATATGTATAAAAACCCGTCGTATCATCCTAGTTTATGTTTTAAATTAAAACAATAACAACAATTATTTCAGTAGTTTATTATTTTACTCTATACATTTTCTAAGCACTTAAATTTCTAAAAATTCAATTAGGTATTTGAAACATTACAGTAAAATAATTMGATTTGAAATGATTACCAATAGGAATTCAATACATAATATATAATATAAATACCAATAMTAAATAGTACCTAATTAGTAAATAATTTAAAATTACAATATATTACATACCCGTATACTAATTTGTTTACAAATAATAAGACATTTACTATTAAAAATCATTTAGTAGAGTATTATCATTAGAGAAGGTATTCAATAAGACACTTAAATAATGCTTCGTGTGCAATTATTGGGAATGGAATACGCGATGTGAACATTTTTACTACATTCATAGAATTTCCTAAAAATGAACAGCCCGACGATCCGAATTCCATGCATTTTTTTGTAACTCTTGAGAATTGCAATAAAATGTAAATAAAGATTGAATTCAATAATGATTTCAAACCATAAATAGTGGAAGAGGTGATTGTCGACGACTATGAATGGTTTGGAGAGGAATAACTTAAAAACAAATATAAATCTAGGTAACTATTTAGGTTAGGTTTTATATTTACCAAATAGGTAAGTACTTATACTTAGCCACACAAAGTCGAAAAAAAAAAGTTTATAGTGGTCAAGCAGAAAACATAATATTTACAACAATTAATTATGACAATATTTATAACCCCCAATTTTTATACCAACTGCTTTTAAAATATTATAAACAAGCGCGGTGTTTGTATATTGTTAAAAAAAAAAAAAACGCCGCGCCGTACGATTTAACAGCTCAGCAACCCATTATAATTGCATCGGTATATAGTGTCTAGTTGGTGGTATTTACCATTTTAATATTTTTAAGCGCGTGCTCTTTTAGGCCGTACAGAATATTATACGATTGTTATTATTTTAAATTAGCGCYGTTAACATAATACATATCATGTAGTTTCATATTTTAATAATCATGTCGAGTATGGACACCTATATAGGTACGTTGTACGTAATAATAATAATACGTCGACAATGATTTATTATATTTTATTGGGATACGCGGTCCCCATACACTAAACTATTCTTTCACGTCGATTTCACTTGTTGAAAAAAAATAGAACAAGACACGCCTCGTTTTTTTTTTATATATATTATATATATATATATACACGCAGTCTTTTTTTGAGAGAGAGCGAGAAAATGGTTTGGAATTTGGAAATTACAAAAAAAAAGACAAACACGCAAAAAATAAATAAATACCACAAGTGATTGTAAATTTGGTATAATACACGTCCATTACACTAATAAAAATACCAATATTCCTTCTACTCATCGGTGTTCAGAGTTTTGGGGTAAATCAGAAATGACCTTGGTAACTCTGAAACTCGACGACCATTTCTATTTTATTGTGAATCCCTTTAAAACCATCTGCAAGCGCATAACAAAACGTGCAAACCTTAAACCGAACGTTTCTTTACTCATGACGTGTAGGTACTTGACAAGTACTACTTGTTATCAGCTGAATTTAAATAATAATATATTATATGTGGTAACTGTACCTTCGACGATTATTTACCAATTATATTTCATGTGTCCAAAACATCGTTTCTCTGACCTCTGTTACGGATAAACAGAAGAAAAAAAACACTTTTGGAAAAAAATATTTACTTTTACTCATTTGGTTAAAACATTCAATGATCGACCAAGTTCGAATTGATATCGGTGTAATTGAATGCGGTAATGAAAAGGTTAGAAAATATAAACCTTATTATTAGCCATTACAACTTAGTGGAATTGACTTTACTTTGGATCAGATAGGAAGTCTTTGTCGACGGCGTCATCATATTCATTTGTTCCTGCAGTAATAGAAAAATACTTATCAATAATATGATATTAGTATGTAAGTACTAAGTAGTACTCGTAGTGTTCATGCAATAATTATGTTGTTAGATCGGACTTGTCACAACGGCCACGAGGCGAACATGCAAAACCAGCGGTCCTCCGTAATTTATGTAGTTTAAAATTAATATTATTTATTTCAAACAATAATAATTTTTTTATTWTTTTTATTAAATGCCACTTAAAAATGAATAACCAAAAACCAGAAAACCCCTATYCCACTTGTATCAAATCATCTGACAACAAATAAGCAATAACTATAATAAATAAGTTATATAGGTACTATATGTATCGTATAAGGCTATGAAGAAGWAGGCCACTACATGCATACAAAAGATATYATTAAACAATGAAAACTGTATTTATGTTATATCAGTATTAATGTTTTAGGAATTTAAATARTAAAAAAATGAAAACTTTTGTTGGCTAAAATATTCATTTGTTTTAACAAATGTTTAATTTGTATGCACTATTCATAAATACCCATATCTTATATTTGATATCACTCATGTAATTGTGTTATTATTTTAAATTATAAGTAGGTATTATATTATGATTTATGATTAAACTAAGTACGTCATTGATTTTCATATTATTCACTAATAAATACATTATATGTACCTATTCAATTTAATTTATGTAATTTTCATATTCAGGTTTCTATATTTTCCGTTGTTATACACAATACGTTTACCAACACGAGTTTTAATAATGAAAATCAGTATAACAAATGACCAAAACTGTTCCTAAAGGCTAAAAGTAAAGATTTTGGAATGCGTGGCTTCTACCAGACAACTCTTATAACTTAGCCAAAAAATGCATTAAATTATTAGCTCACTTTGAGTTGTTCGGTTGATCTTTTTATGTAGTTCATCAGCATTTTATATTTCATTTTCAATGAAACTAGAAATTTATAATCCTCACCCGACTCTTTTTTCTTCAACCTGTCTAAATATTTCTGTTTTGAAATTCTACATTTTATTTTYAATTCATTATTGATTCTTGTCAAGTCTTCAACTTCCATTAACAATTTAGGGTCGACGTTCTAAAATGTAATGATATCGTCTTATATTATTTTATTTTATTATATATATATAGCTATTCAGGCTGAATCCCGTTGATAAGCCTGGAACTTGGAAGTATAAATGCTAATTTAGTTTCCCTCCATGTTAGCAGGTTTGTAACAAAAAAAAAAGACCAAAAATACAAAAAATCTAGTTGGAATATAGATAAAAACAACATTTTATCAAACGTAATATTACTAAAAACGTAASAAATTAATACATATCGTAAATTATAATAATTAATTATAATATATTTAAAATTTAAAATATTCTTAGAATTATTATTTTTAACTAAATATAGTTTTTATTCCTTAATTCTAAACCTTAATTCTTAACCTTGAACATTTAATGGTTTAATATTATACGTTAAAACACGTATAGTCTTGTATTTTTGATTAAAGGGAGTACATATTTTAATGTTTAAATATAATTATTTATTTTAACCTGCGGTAAAAATGAGTAGACCTGCTCAATGTTTTTCAAAATAGCGTTTGTTGTTTGTTGTTAATTTGGCTTAAAAAGAAATAATCGTAACTTACAGGTGGTCGACAATATCGATTACACTACCTATATATTATCGTTCGACATAATAATATGAACCATGAAGTAGAATATTTCGTTTGAGGTCTTTAATGAATTCACCCCATAATATGGTAATATGATTTTGGAGACATGTTTCATTTGAACTGACTATTTTATCATATAYCTATTATAATCGTTTTGGAAAATGACTACATAATGGCCATCTGGAATATGATTCATACTTATCGGTCACATATTATAATTATTGCGCAGTTGTGCAGTGCCTACTTGTATCTTACTGAATATACARTGTACCTACTAATTATAATACCCAATCTACCTCATTGTAATAAAATAAATTAAGAATTTGCAGTTGACAGGGCTATTGGCAGTTATCGGTAGCTATTGTATTTTAAAATGTTTATTCATGAATAAAAATTAAAAACTATATAACGAGTGTTAATGGTACTTTTATTACACTAACATTAAGGGTCATTATGATTACAATCGTTGAATTTTTMTTCAGAGTCCAGTGTCCACTACTTTTATACCGTTGACTCAATAAATGACAAATTAATATATTTCATTATCACGATGTTCCGATTAAAATTAACTATTGTTGAAGTTAATTATTTTGCAGGACCGCTGCCGGAAGTAAACTTTTTAGTGTATAATTCTTGTTTATTCGATTTAGCAGGCACATTCATATCGTTTAGTACAGATTATGATTAAAAAATTGATAAATAAATTATTTACAGTTTATTTGATGATTAAAAAAAAAGGTGTGATCGAAAATCTACTGTTGGAAAATTTGATGGTTTGTTAAAAATTGACAATAAAATATTAATATAATGACGGTTTTTTACAACGATGTATTATAAGAATGAAAATAAGACCTACTTAAGTCAAAATTACTGTTGTCAGCCGACAGATAGTTAGGCTGATTAGAACACTGGCAAGTATATCTATACAATAACTATATTAAGATATTATAATATTATCATAACTATACCGTATCGGCGTCTCTAATTCGTCTATATTCATTTATGGTATACTATTATAAGTACTTAAATAAATAATATGTAGATAAATAGATATCTATATTATGTTATTATAAATCAATAATTACCGATGAATCCGGGTACAAATTATTAGTCACCACCGCCTTATCGTACATACATTTGAAGATAAAAATCATATTCTTAAACTCGTTGTGAATCCTGTATAAAATTGCTCCAAGATCTTCGTCCATAATTATGACTTGTCTCAAGACTTCATCTTTTACATTATATTATAACATAATATATAATAATTAATATTGTTATGGAGTACAAGAGCAGTTAGTAATAACACAAAGTTTACATGTTATCTGTATTCTGTGTATTGTATTTATATATGGACTTTGTATTACCGAAAAATAAATTGTAAACAGAGTTTCTTGTTTCGCATATCCCTTTTTGCTGAAATTGATAAAGCTGTTCTAAATGGTTCAATGTAGCAATCATTTTGGATACACTGTCCCTGTTTGATGGTTCTCTGGAAATCGTTTGTCTCAAAGTTAACGTCTTGTTATTGTTATCAATGCGAGTCCATACTCTGGGAGGAAATATTTCTTCTAGTATAGATTTTTTACCATCACCATTATTCTAWAAATATTTCGGTTTGGTAAAAATGTATTAAATCACAAATCGTCGATGTATTTAAAAAAAAGTCGTTGTACTGCAGCGTTGGAAAAGTTAAATTAAAAGTTTATTTTATTATTATATATTATTAGTACCTTTAAATATAATTAATTAAATATATTTTTATGCGGGTGCATAAGTGTGTAACATAATAGTTACAATAGTTAACAACGTAGAAAATATCATTATTTCAAAATATATTATATTGTATTGTAACTTTAAATTTCTATCTTGCAGTACATATATGATTAGTTTTTTAGTACCGTACATTAAATAACATATGAAATAAAAAATTGCAAGATTTGTTAATTTTTCTAATAATTAGTTTTTCAAAAATGCATTTAATTTTCAAAGCCGAGCTCACAGTTACACAATATTTTATTGCAGTTTGCAATAGCAAGAGAAATATCTCGCATGTGATATTTTATGTATACAAGAACAACGAATCTTTGAAAATCACATTATATAAGTATGTAAGTTATTGCGAATGTATTACAATATAATATTATAAGATGTACGTGTTAAGTACATTATAATATAACAAAATATTATCTACTTTTTGAATGGAAAAATTGGCTTTCAACAATTTCAAATATGTAAAGCCGACTTTAATCTTTATATCCATATTATATTACTTGTTCTTGAATGTCTGTGATATCCTCGACAAAGTTCCATTTTAAGACTCCTTTGCTTAAAAACGTAAGAAATTCGGTATCACTCATTTAGTAGCAGTAATACGTAAATATTATGCTATACTCATTTACAAAAATATATATATTGACTTTTAGCCTACGTTTACTTTTGTTATTGATTAGTTACAATAATCGTGTTTATTATTTATATTTAATTGTTTGTTTGTTTTTTTAATCACATTTATAACTTGTTATACTTGTCTGAAAACAAAATTGAATTTATAAATATGTACCTATAATAAAAAAATTTAGTAAAAATTAATTTAGTTTTATTTAATAATAATAAAAATTCTAAATTATAATAGAGGTACATATTATTATTATATTATTTCTAATATATTACTATATAACTACATTATTCAATTTTAAATTGATAAAAAAAGGTTCTACTAATCTACCTTACCTATTGTTAGAATTACTATAGTGGAAAAATAAATAACTTATAGCCATATATAAAATAAAAAATATACTTAGAAATATAAGGTGACAGACAATTCAAATTCAAATTCAAATTCAAAATTTATATTATAGTGAATTAGTGACCTACTCTCAATGACGACGTAATACAATTGAAAGCTACAGCAAAACTAGTTTCCCCCTTTATTTATGTAAAATATAATGAATATAATATAACATGCAGTGTCATAGCTTAGGGAGAGGGCTTTAAGGTCCCCCCTCCCCCCGAATTTTAAACTTAGGTACTAGTTTCTATACCCGGTAATACCATACAATAAAATATTGTCGCTCTACGTCAAAGAAAATCATGGGTACGGCACTGATAACATGCATTCAAATTAAATAATTGTGATAAACCAACTATATTTGAAATTTAGCTTAAATTAATACATATTATAATAACACAACATTATTTTATACTAAACAATGGAATATCGATTTAAGTAATTTTGAAATACAATAATGTACATTGGAATCAAATTGTTGGTATCAAACATCTCTCGGAGTTGTATAAATGCTTTTGAGCTTTGAAATAAATACGGTCATTTTTAAATTATATAGTGTAACACGATCCTTAAGCTGTATGTTTCATTATTCGAATGCAAATTTCAGTTAGAATTAAATAATATTGGAAATATTATGCGAAATTTATTATTTTAAATTGAATAATCGTGGTATACAACTTTTATTGTAATCAAATATTAGCATAAAACTTAAAAAATGTTGTGAATCTATTTATTTAGAACAATATTGTTAGTGCATTATTATATATAATAGAGATTGAAAAATTATAATTACCAATTAGTCCCAAAAAGTATAGGTACACATTTGAATGATTTCCAATACATTATATTTGTATGTTTTATATATTAAATAAAGATATTTTTCTCGGAAATGAAAAAAAATAATTGTTTATATACTTTCATACATAACTTTAAAATGAAATTAATCTACTTGTGACATTCTTCTAAACAATAGCTTGTTCATAAAACCGGTTTCGAGGATACAATCCAAAAAAATAAAGTCCCAATCTCGTCGGGAAATAATGGCTGTATATTGGGTATTAGTGTATTACATGTAGCAATATTGTGTTTTTAAAATATTCGTATAGTTTATAAACACACGATTACGTGAAATTTGTTTCATTTTAAGTGAGATTCTTATATGTCAGGGATGGGCAACTGGCGGCCCGCGTACCTTTTTTATCTGGCCCGCGCTACRGAAATAGAAGTGGATTTTACTAAATTGTCTATTGAAAAACCTCATCCTCAAGTATCACATTAAATAATAATTGTAAATATAAATAAATAAAAATAAAAAATAAAATTTTAATTTTTTTTTGCTTTCTCCTGCGGCCCGCTAGATTTTAAAGTATTTAAAAGTGGCCCACTAGTTACTTTGAGTTGCCCATCCCTGTTATATGTATATAATATATAGTATATTATATACTTTTATTTAAATGATCTCATTAGTATTAAAATGTATAAAATATATAAAAATTAAAAATTAAAATTTAGAAATCAATTGAAATTTTACAATGTAATAACTAGATGTACCTATAAGTTATATTTCATTGTATTTACATAAACGATAACGTGTTACGTGTAAGTGTAATAATTACTATTATGTAGATAATTGCAGTATGATTTTATAAACTTATATTTAAATTTCAGCTGATGGAGACTGCTTTTGGAATAAAATATAAATTAATTTTGATACCTATATATAATTATTATAATTATTTAATCATTGYAATTAGTATATATTATAAATATAACAGACAAATGAAGTAAATCCCAACCAAAACACAAAATTGGTTCATACCAATTGGAAAATGGAATCTTCTGAATTTAAGTAGTCGCCAAAGCTTGAATAGGTACCTATTCAATGCTACCGCTGTAGACATTTGTTTTATATTATAATATTAATTATTATACATTTTAGTTTTCATCACTCATAAAAGTTATCAATCATGGAAATATCGAAAACATGTTTTTTTCATAAGTGTTTATTTTTAAAATCACTTTTGGTAATTTATGGTAGGTATTTGTCTTGTTTTTGAAAATCCCTTATTAGTTATTAACGCGTTTTAACATTTTTTAACATATTCTATGTTTGGTTTTATATGGTTTTAATAGTTAGTCGGTAAGTAGTCACAGTTTATACACAGTGCTCGACTTATCCCTAATATTTTTGAATTATTAAGAATAGTATGATACTTTATTTAGGATTTTTTTTACAAAATTACAAAATTAATAAATTACATATAATAAATGTTTGTTAACTATAAAGTGATACAAATATAACCATGATTGTAATTTGTAAATATAGATCTATAACATTCTGATGAGAAAATTAAGAATACTTATCCAAAAATATAACGATCTTAAAAAAATTTAATTTATGGAGTTAAACTAGAAAAAATTTAAAAAAATTTTCGTTTTCAATATTAATTGTATCTTGTCAATTCCACTGTAAAAAAATTTTGCATCTTTTTTTGAGTCAGACTAGTCCATTCATGTTTTTTATTTTTATTATAATTTTCTGAATAGAAACTTATTATTTTTACCTACTTTAAAAGATAATGTTATAACAATGACAAAACTGTATGATTAAATTATATTAAGATTTGAAATGTTTGTCAGTTTGTGTTAATATGTTTGAGTAGTAAAAGGGTTGTGAATAGCACATTACCCACATATTGTCTCCACGTTTATGCTAGGTTCCTTGCATATGGCCATGTTATTTAACTAGGAAGTCTAATGTATTTTTTTTTTGTCATCAGAGAAGGTACCGCCATTATTTTTTTTTTCCCAAGTCAATAGCACTCAAACACTCGCTGTTCATGCGGTGTGTAATCGTATCGCTGTCTACTACACACAAATCACAACTAAAATATTATATAGTTTAATACCTTCATAATACCTCATAAGTCATAACACTCATAACTCGTTTACGTCTCTTCTTTTTTGTTTTATGTTTGTTATTCAATATATCATTGAAAAACACTTGTTTTTTTACATATCTAATCGAAAAAATAAAATACAAATCATCAAAGTTGCGAATCGATATCTCCGAAATATATTGACTGCGGGAAATACACTCCATGTATAGGTAATATATAGATAACTGATAACTGATAAGTATCACAAAGCATATAACTTATAAAATGTATTCAGAAATAACAATAATGTTTACCAAAATATTAAAAAATATTCACGGATTTGAATGATTCTTATTTTCAAAATACAAACAATAACCATATAAAAAAAAAAAAAAATGTGAATTAGTCAATATAATTATCACTAATGTTCACTTGCAAGGAATATATTGAAATTAAAATAATAAGGCACATTGAGCGCAAATTTTATATTTTTAATTACTGCAGTGACAAAAATTGTACTTGTAAAATATTTTTAATAGACTTACTATCTAAATATCATCATGTTAAACCTATATATAATTTAAGTATAGTTACTTATTACTTGTACAACTATAAAATACTAAACCATATGATAATATTCAAATGTCATAATTTACAATGAACCGCGCGCTTGGAATACAATTAAATATACCTACCTATATTTAATTGGTAAATAACCCATTTCAATTTCTGTGACAGGCACGTATGACGTATATAGTTGTTTATTTTATCGTGATCCTTAATCTAAGAGTTTTTAGTCTTTTATACTTTTTCTAGTAGTCTGGAAGTGGTTTAAAATTAATTATTTGTGAAAAATAAATGATGAATTGTAATTTAGGGGTTGAGAGAGGAAATAAAATAGGTGACATTATAATATGTTTCCTTATGAACAATGATGCAGGTTCAATTATTTTTTATTTCCAACAAATATTTCTTAGTTTATGCCCAACCAATATTTATCTTTCCTCACGCGTCCTTGAATTAGTATTTATTACATTATAAAATAATTTTATCAAATATCAATATTACAATTTAATGAAACCTGTTAAACACAGGTCTAACACATTGAAAGACCACACAAATTTGTAATTGTTCTCAAAATTTATGAAAACTTCATTACATGTAACTTATCCTTCAAGGCTAAGTAAACTATAATAGTTTTTATTCTAATAGCTAATAAAAAAAAAATAAAAAAAAATAGGCTAAGCATATACATTCACTCTGCTCAAAAACCAAAAAATATTTAAATATGTATAATATAAGACATGTTTCATAAAACGGATGAAATTTAAATGGGTGGTATTTTTTTCTTCTTCATGGCAGCTCTATTTTATTTTTTGTTATTATCATTTCGATTTGAAATTTTTAATAGTTTTATAAGATTTGTCCTTMATTTCGAGCAACGTATTTTAGTACCTACTTAAATGCATAATAAACAAAGTTGGAAAGTACCGTTCACGTTTGTCATCGCAGTCAGAGTGCGCATATGCCCGATATTGTGTTTCACACTTGACACTTAAACCGGAGTAGGAATTTAATTAATATATAAGACATGAATATAATATATACAATGTATAAGGAATTGTATATTTGTAAGATAAATTTTTTAATAGACATCTTTATGATATGATTTGTCTCCATTTTTATGAAA